CAAACTCGTAAGGAACATTTGTGATACTAGAAGTATATTAATTAGGGGTGTGAGTGTATATATACTATTGTATGCAGACAATGCTATGTGGCTGACTGAGAAATGGATGATATCCAGTGAATATCAGATTATATGATGCAACAAGGAATATGGCTCTGAAAATAAATATATCAAAGATCAAAGGAGTTGTGTTTGACAGGTTAAATAAAGTGTATAATTCCAAATTATACAAAAAAGGCAAAAAAACTAGAGCAAATAGATTACCTATGTTTCTTGGTGGAACGTTTACTAAAGATGGGGAAATTGGATGAAGAAGTTTTAAGATGTGCAAATGTTAGTAGAAATGTAGTAGGTAATCTGTTGTGCAGAATGAATGTTTGCAAAATAAAGTGGAAATGGCTGTGTACAACAGTGAGCTTCCTATCTCTTTTTAACAAGGAAGTGAGAATTGGGGATGTTATGAGTAATGTAAAAGTAAGCTGAATGCAATATGGATCGGTTATTGAAGAAGCGTGTGTGGTCATAGGCATCTGTTCCTAATCACGAAGATGGCAAAATGACAAACTGTGCATTGTGATACCAGATTGCAAACTCCACCTTTTATGTTTACACCGCAGTGTCATATAATATGTAAGGGATAGAGTTTGCATTGCAGCGTTGTGATGAATACTCCATAAGGGGAGACATCATTAACAGTTTTAGTGTAGATTTGTCTATATTTCTTTTTCTTTTCTTTTATATCGTGCCTGTAATTTCTTTTGCTTACTACTTATTCCCTTCTTGCACTCTGTTACCACAGAATATAGCAATGCATAGATATACATACATGCATGTATGCAAAGTAGAGGGAAATCTAGGTCTCAATCTCCACCCAGCCATGATGCTTGCTAGATGTTGTTCTATCTGTCATTGGCTGAGATTATGCAACATAACCTGCCATGATTTACTGATAAACCATAGTTTGATGGATCTGTCCAACATGCAAGACCATAAACCAGGATTTACAAAATAAATGGCTGAATTCACACAGCACATTAAGGCAAAACCCAAAAAGGTCATATCACTGTATGTGCACAATTTTTATGATTGGTAAACCATGGTTTAGCATATTGTGCCATGCTTTCCCTCCATTTAAGACACCATGAGGATGAGTCATGAGGTTTATACATCAGCTGGAACTCCTTGGAAGAAGTGTGGACAGAAAAATTTACGTAATGATAAGAGTAGCTCTGTATGGTTCTTCACAAGGTATCTGCAGAGGGGGTCAAATGATAAAAGCAGGGTTGTGTCGTTGTGATGCAAGTTCTGCTCCCCTTGAATGCAGGTTATGATGTTGCAGGCATACCCAAAAGGGTTGAAGCGGGAGTTGTGATAGTACAATGTTTTCAACACTTTGATGAAAGCCTGCAAACACCTATGCATGAGTTGCTGGTTATCTCGAGGGTATTAATAGCAACATCTTATAGTAACATATGCATTCCTAATTCATTTTTGAATGATGTACTTTTAAAGATTTAATAATTGTATTTAATCCTCAATAATTTAATCAGAAGTAAAGCCTTGCAGAGATTTATTTTCTCATCCATGGGTCTACAGCAGTAAATTTAACTTAGCATAAGGTATACTTCCAAATTATTGAGTGTAAGATCTTGGGCAAAGATGTTTGAAAACACCCAACTTCATGATTATTTATGGCATTGCATAATGGGGATTTTTGTAGGGATAGGGGGCTCCGGCCATCCAAATGCCAGGAAGGTATATTATACTTAGAATACATTTGGAATCTTCAGCCTTTTTTTTTTTTTTTTGAGGAAGGTGTATTATCTCAATACAAGTAAGCAAAAAACAAAAGGCAAGTTTTCAAAACACTCCTAATTTTGCAGCTTGATGCACTCAATCACAGCCATTACATTATTTACCTACGTACAGCTATTTTATCCTATTCTCTCAAATTGGCTAACATATAATCCATTAAAGAAAAACAGTTACAGAGAATGGATTGGATTCAGATTTAGCCATCCAGTGCCCTCACTGAAATCAGCGAAGCTTCATTTAGTCATAGCACATTTAGATACATCAAGCATATTTTGGGTTATTAAGCCCAACCCTTTGCTTTCTGCAGAGATCAAGTCAAAGCATCTTTGAATGATGGTTTCCCAGACCCTGACTGAAGACATCCAGCAAAGGAGAAGTCATTTTCTCCCTGGGTAACTGGTTCCACTCTCAGACTATGGTTACTGTTTGGATTTTTTTCTCCGAACGCTCAACCAAAATTCCCCAAAATTTGTGTCCTGGACTTTGGCAGCACAGAGACCAGATTTTGATCTTCTACATGACATCCATTCGCATTCCTGAAAAAATCCTTCTCAGTGTTTCCCCCCACCCCCAACACTAAATTTATTCATCCTGTCCCCGTGATTTCACTAACTTTATCCTAAATTAGGTTCCAATCCAATGATTTGTTCTGATGTTTTTGAAAATGAAATAGAACATAGACAAGCATATACCAGAGGGGCTTGAATAGTACAAGTGCCTTCAAACAGATACAATTTAGATAAGGGTTATTTTTTTTAAAAAAAGTATTACCAGTGCCAAATTATCTCGACTCAATTACACTTTTCATCAGGAAAAAAAAAGCAGCTCTCAGAGAAGCAGTTAGGAGAGACGTAAAGGCAAAAATACGGTGCTACTTATAACTAAAAGTCGATAAAATCTCGCAGTCTAAAGGAAGGGACAAAACTCATTACAGATAAGGGATTTCCCCCAGAACGCTTCTCCTGGATTGCTTTTTATTTAAACGCCGGGCTAAAAAGGAAATCGCTCCCTCTTATCTCCCCCAGGATCAGCCTAGCCTCTGCGCTTTGCTTCGCTCTGATCACAGCTATAAGGTCCTTTTCGCCCCTCCGCCTCTGCTCAGATTGCAAGCGCTGAGATCGTCTGAAAAAAACGGCGCCTAACAAAGACCAGGGAGCAGCAGCCTCAGGAAGAAGAGCGCAGAGGACCGGCGGAGCAGACGCCTCCATTATTTTAGGGTGCGTGATCGGACTGTGGTAAAAAGCACGGCGCGGAGATGAAGCGACTGCCTCGCCCTGAATACAGGCGCCCCGACGCTAAATGGATCTCTACTGCTTTAAGCCCCCCTGCTGTCAGAAAATTGGGGGGGGGGGGAATAGGCGGCCAGCCTGCTTTTGACAAACCAAAAAAAAAAAAAAGTGGGAATAGATTTGCAGGTTTTCCGGACAGAAAGTGAGGGCGCACGCGCAGTGCAAAGCGGTCCGGGCGCACTTGCTGCAGACCCGGCATCCTGTCCGTTAGTTCGCAAGCGTGCGCGGTGGATGGCGAGAGCGCGGATCCCCTTAGCCGGAGGCCGGGTGCGCATGCGCGGGAGAAGGGGGAACGCGTGTGCCTGGAAAGGAGGAAAGGCTGTCAATAAGCGTGTGGGATAAATGCATGTAATATGTGGGGAGCTTTAAATAGAGCTGCGAGGAAAACAAAAATATGTGCGCGCGCGAGGGAGAGGACGCGTTTGTGCCAAAGGTTATACGCGGCTTGTGTGGTTTTTAAGACGGTTTTTTTTTTTTTTTTTTTTTTT